GGTCTCAAGAAGTCTACTGTGAATCAGCTTATTCTTGCTTTTTCTTCTTCCTAAAAGCAAAAGTGATCTAGAAATATTTGTCTTTCAAGCTGAGCGAAACTCTTTTCCTTTAAGGTGGCTATCAACTCCGCCTTCTTAGACACTTTACAATGTTTCCTAATAAACGCACCAATAGATTCATCGGATAGTATGCTCTTCTGGAAATCAGATATCCTTCGTTCGATTTCATTGATATTGCATCTGCCAGAACGCACCAAAATAAGACTATCAGCGAGTTTATTCCTGAAATTCGTTTCCTCTATTTTGGTATCCTGCACGCGCTTCTCGATTATGTGCAAAGTCACGTCAAGTATGTGATCGGATATGGATCTGGCTTCATCACGTAAATCATTCAACATCTTTTTCGATTTAAGGAAATCATCAAAAATTTGCTCCACTCTTAAAATCGTTTGTTCGTTTAATTCCGTTATAATGCTTCCAATAGTAATGGTGTGCTTGAATTTCCTTGCAAGTTCGGACAATGGATAAAGTGTGAATTCAATGGGCACTCCTTTCCCGCAATTATATTTTTTGACGTACAGAGGGAGCTCGGTCAGAATTTCTTTTGCTTCGTCGAAGGACTGAGGGAGTTTCTTATTATCGGGAATAACGTCCCCGTGAATCTTTATTGAAAAGTGATTCGAAAATTCCAATCGTTCTTCTTTAACACCTGCATCGACTCCTATGGAAGCACCAATGCACGTGGAAACCTTTTCCAAGTTGGCCTTAAGGATTCCTTCAATTTTCGACTTATTCCTTATGTTTCTATTCTTACACTCAAATGATGACATCATGGTGGCTCCCCACTTTATGCCTGTTACAACATGCGTAGCACCTTGGATATTAAAAGCGTCCGTAGCAATGTATGTCTTGACATCATCATGATTAATATTTAAACTTTCTTGGACCGAAGACATTCTGTATATCAGAGTGCCCTTCACAGATTTGGAACTACTTTTCACATCTTTTAAATATTTCCCCGACCCTTCCAAAGAGAGTAAACCCGAGAGAATGCTTATCTTCAACTGTGATTCAACATCTAGCTTATTAAACTTTTCTTTGTAGGAATCCTCGTACTCGAAAATCAGATCAGTATGAGGAATCTCAACTTTATTTATGACGTCATCTGGTATCTTGGTCCTAAATAAGGAGGATTCGCAAAAGCCATCAC